AGCTGCAGTAGCACATATCCCTCCTCTTGTTTCTGGTTTTAAAGGAAATATTTTGTCTTGTTTTGTTAAGATTTATTTATTTATTTGAGAGAGAACAAGAGCACAAAAGAGCACAGGGTAGAGGGGCAGAGGGAGAGAGTGAAGTTCAAGCAGACTCCCTGCTGCACATGGAGCCCGACTCAGGGCTTCATCCCAAGACCCCAAGACCATGACTTGAGCCAAAATCAAGAGCCAGACACCTAACAGACTGAGCCACCCAGGCGCACCAGGAAATGTTTGTTTTAAATTTGACTTGTTGCTATGATGTTAACTGTAGGTTTTCTGTAGATACTCTTTATCAGGTTAAGGAAGTTTTCTTTTATTACTAGTTTGCTAAGTGTTTTTATCATGGTTATAATTTGGACTTAACTGAATACTTCTTCTGCATCTACTGATAAGAACATGTATCTTTTCTAATACATGAATGCAGAAAACAATACACATTTGCCTAATACTAACTCAACCATGCATTCTTAGAATAAGGCCAGTAACCCAGAACTTTTTACTTGTAGAGTCAGAAGAGGTTAGATGATACCTGCTTAAAACTCAATAAATTTTATGATGCTAGTCTTACTTGCTCACCTCAAGACCCTGTCTTCTTTACAGCATCATTCCTGACTCATCCATGCCTTCTTTGAGCTCTTAGAGCATTTACTATTGATGTTATTCATTTGACACTTGGCATGTGTTAATTTTTGTATGTCCTATCTCCCAACTTGACTACAAGTTCCTCAAGAAGCAGCTAGTAAGTACACAATAAATCATCACTTAAATTATTCTTGTGATAAAATGGTGAAACATGAGTTGGATAATAATGCAGCATCCTTAAAAAATGAGACTTCTGGACATGAATTTTCTAGAAAGGTGAAGTTTTAATCAGCTAATAGTCACTGAAACTTAAAAATCACTCTAAATTGTACTCCACACTTTCCTGCTTTGTTAACAGTGTTCTGGCCATGCTTTATTCATTTCTTGATTCTAAGCAAACTCAACTGTTACTGGTTGAGTACAGTCAATAATTAGGAATGTCAGTTATGGTACTGTACTAAAGATACAGCTGTGGATACATAACATGTGGGATGCAGAACCTCGGCTATGACCCTGAATGAATCTTTAATAAGGAAGAAAAAAAAACCCGGCATTTTTCCCCCTTTAGCACTGACCTCTAGTTAACTCTAAGCAGCAATTCACAGGACTCACAGATTCACACATTTCCTCCTCCACTCCACCCTCTTTTATCCCAGAATTACACAATGCAGAGCTGTAGGACTGATACATTTTTAGCAGTGATACTGTGAAAAGTTACCATTTCTCCAGATTACAACTACTTTCCACCTTGCTTTTCCACTGTGGACTCTCTTCTCTGTACCTACTACTAGCTGACCTCATCACTGCTTCTAATCTCTAGAGAGAAACAGCATATGGTGTAACTAAGCACAGAATCTGGAACCAGAATGCCTGGGTTCAAATGCCAATTTGACATTTACAGTTCAAAGCCCCAGGATAAGTTACTTAACCTCACTATTCCTCAGTTTCCTCTTCCATAGAATGAGAATAAACACATATCTACTTCATAAGATTGTTATGAGAATGAAAGCAGTTAATATTTATAAAGTGCTTAAACCATTACCTAACATATAGTAAGCAACACACATATTGTTAAATAAATGGATAAAATACTGTCAGGTTGAACTCCACCACTCTCTTATCACTCTTAAATCTACTCCAGTATTTCTCATTTTGGGTTGTGGTTGTATTGGTCGTAGTGGTGGCAGACATTATTAACCGATCCTAGCACTCCTTCTCTCTGGTCAGTGCCTCCCTCAGACATGGAAGGGAAGGGGGGGGAGGTGTGTCAGGTGTATTCATTCACTGTTCTGTTAGCCAAGCTAAAGTAAGCACAGGTTAAAAAAAAAAAAAAAAGCTGTTTATTTAATCAGCATAACAGGAATCTAGGGACATGTGTGACTGCTATTTTCAAATATTTGCAGGGCTGGGATGGAGAAGAGACAGCATTTAAAATTATATGGAAGAGCTACAGTCTCCCCATCACTGAACATGTTTAAGCAGGAGACTGGTGACCAGGTGTAAGGATGCTGTAAGAAAGAATTTTTTAATTTAGAGTCAGATAAACTTTAAGATTCCTTCTACCTCTAAAGTCTTGGCAATACTAGCGTGAGTCACAAAGACATTACAATCTAGTTGTGAATCACACATCGCCAACGCGCTCCTGAAGGCACAGAATTCTTCACTCCCCACAGTGCTTGGCACATTACAACAGATCGAGGTGAGGAATTCTAGCCCTCAGGCTGCGTATAACTCGGCTCACAGTAACAAAAACTTCTGTAAAACTCGGCGCGTCAATTAGCTGATTCCAGACTTCTGTTACGACCAACAAATACAATAAAGCATACATCCCAGACGGGATTTGGCAAAAAGATGTGTATCCGGATTAACTATCAGACAGTGTTTCGCTGCACTCTTCCGAAGCCAGACAAAGCCGCCTGAAGTGAGCGGCAGGTTAAGGGGCAGGGGCAGGCAGGGTGGCCCGGGAGGGGGGGGGGCGGGAATGGGAGCCCAGCGAGCAGACACGCGCAGGGGACAGGGACAAAGGCCTCGGGGAGAGCACGCTGGACTTGGAGGCCGGCAGGAATGCCCGGGCCGGAGTGCCCAGCAGTCGGGGTGTGGACTGGGGATGCAAACGTGTGGGCCCCCGCAGGGTCCTCTCTGCCTCGGGTGAGCCCGCGCGGGGCCCCTCGCTGGGCCGGGGGCCGCCGAAGCCACAGCCCGAGGCGGGTCGCGCGGGGCAGGCCGGGCGGCGCACCTGCCTGCCGGCCTCTCGGGGTCGCACTGGGCTCCCCGTCCCCTGCCCCCCCCCGCCGCGCAGCCCACTCGGCCTCGCCGCCGGATTTCGGATGGTCCAGACCAAACGCCGCAGCCGCAGCCGAGGCCGGTCCCCCAGCCTCAGACAGGCGGCCCGACCCAAAGCCGCAGTCCTGCTGGGAATGGGGGGCAGCAGCTGCCTCCCGCCG